CATACTACTTATTATGAAATATATGTACATAGAGACAGAGCACTAGACTCGATTTTCGCTCTTATTAGAGCTCATCAGTAGTGCATATCCACCGTTCAAATCAATGATTATCAATTATTCCACACCACTACTTACAAGGAACCGTGAGTTAAATGTGAATAATCAATCAAGCCTGGTAGGTTTGTGGCAAGTCAGCCCGTAACCTGCATGAAAGTCCTTACTTGGTGGGAGGTTTTTGATTGAAGTTAACAGATTGTCATCCGTGTCTCCCTTCGTTGCTGTCGGGTAAAATCAACTGGCTAACTATCACTGATAACGAAACTAGAACAAACATGAATTAATAATTTGGTTCAGCCATATGAGCCGATCAGCACAGTGATACCGCACACGCCTTCCATACGATGGGTTCAGAGATTACATCCCGAACGGGACGGTGAATATGCACTACTGATGAGTTCGAATAGGAGCGAAAGTCGAGTCTAGTGCTTCCGAGTGTATGGTTGAATCGATGAACTGAAGATTATGCGTGAAGGTGAAGTCGAAGGAGAGTTAGTTCAAATCAATGAATATAAATATATATAATATGTAGAGAGAGATATCCAGATATGTCGTTACCCAATCTCACGATCAAACTCGAACTGTTATACAAGGATGATCACGTCAGCCGAATGTTACGTTATCGATCTGACCCGGCTGTTGTCCGCACCTTCTTTGATGCCTCTCCAATCCGGCATTAGAGCACGACTCGGAAACCAACAGCACCGGCCATCTCTTATTTCCCTCTACCCACTAAGTCCAATGCTATCTATTAACTGGAGTGTGGGGTGCGGAGTCACCTACGTCGATAGAACAGCGAGTTGCGTAACCGAGCTCATTTCGAAACGGGTTTGACGCAAATTCAACACGATGAATACTACATAATCACACTTGAATAAGAATAGGATACCCTAAATTCTTGCATAATCAACGGCACTGTGTCTGTTAGCAAAAAACTTCACGTTATCTAGGCTCTAATCTGGTAGGCTGTTTTTCCATCCTGCTTGTTTTCGCTCAGTGCATTCTGAATTACTAATCTTGTTTTCCGCAGTGAGCATCAGCTAAGATGCAGTAAAATGAGAGAACGTACTATGTTTCTGATTGGCATTCGGAGTCGCTTTAGATTTGCTTGATTTTGGCTTTTTGTAAGCAAATCGGTCCAGAAAGTGAAGCATCGAGAAATCGTCAAATGGATTTCCTGTGTAGGACACCACGTCCCCGGCGAGTAGAGTTTTTGCCAATAAACTGACAGATGGATGTGCATGATTGCAAAGCAGCACAAGTGGCCAGGTTGGATAACCCCCAGCACGAGCAAACAATGGTTCTCGAGCTTCCGGATCGTAACCACCAAATTTCATCCTCTTTTGGGACGCTGATATCTTGGTTTGCTTGCCACCGGACTTTCCAGATTCCATGAGCCGCCGATGTTCCCATGTTGCGGCAGTTTTCGATGTCGGAATGTGGGTTGACAGTGCATCCAGTTCGACCTCGGAATCTGGAGCGTCGGAGAAGTGTTCCTCCTCTTCCTCCTCATAGTCCCCAGCAGACACCATCTCAGTCAAGTTTGAGTGGCCAGCGGACGAAACAATCTGCGAGTCCTAGTTAAATATGAATGTGGATGGAGATGGATGGGTATGAAATTGACACTATTTCAAAAGCAACACCGAGAATCAACGGAAGAATGTGAAATTCTTTTACTTTTACTAACCTTACCCTAAGTGGTTCGTCAATCCAAGTCCCGGAACTTAGATTGCCGGTTTCCATCACTGAACAGCCGGTCTTCGTGCCCAAGGGATTTGTCCCGTCTGCTGTTCATCACCCAAGAGTGTGTAACAAAAAACCTAATTTTTGAATGATTCGCACTCTTGATGTCCTGTTTTTGGTGTGGATTCGGGTTAAACGCTTTGACAAGTGTTCCCAGGAGAAAAAACTTTGTCGATGTGGGCTTCTTCTAAAATCTCGGGCAACCAATAATAAAATTCTTTCTCATCTGTTTGGTTCTTTCTCCCTCTCTCAAAACACAATAGACAGCTCTTATTTTCACTCCTCAGTGTGAAGTAGTTGCAGTCTTACGATTAAGTGAAGCAAATCAGAAGAAACTATATTAATTAGACGCAGATGTCCTACAGATGTAGCCGCATTCAATATATCCGGAAGCTCTCAGATCGGCCAACAAGCTGTTGTAACTTGAACCAATAAAACCTTTAATGTAAACGTATAGTGTCTACAAACAATGAATACAATATTCCACCTCACTTATCTCTGGTACACACATAAGTGAATGAAGATCCAGATGAGTTGCAAGTTGGATGGTTCGGCCTGCTTTGCAACTCCAAGACACCCGCCCAAATCAAACTTTTATGTATGCGACTATCTCTTGCATGAAGATAAGTCAGCTTCTTGTGGATGTCTCTGATTGCAGCTGCGATCTACCGCAAGTTCCGCGCATCGGGAGATTTAGTTGTTACGCCAGTCACGCGCTCCGACAATCAACCGGAGACCTATATTTACTAAATTTCCTAATACACGTCTTTAGTTGGCCGAGGTGATATTTCTAATTCGGGCAAAGTATCGGTGATAGAATTTTCCTTGAGAGTTCAGCTTCTGACCATTCATTGTTTCCCTAGCACCACTCCATATGAATTCTCCCTCTACCGCTTGAATTTCTTTTCAACATTCCAATCTTTATTCAACTCTTTTATCCAAATGGAGCATCAAAAGACAGCAACCAAAACCAGCGCACGAAAGTGCATGGTTAATGGCTGTAAAAACTGAACTGTACGGAATGGAGGAAATAATAGAACCACTCTAGACGGCGTCGTTGGAACGATGGTAACCAGGTGGTTAGAGACACTGAGTGACATGGCTGAGTACCGTAAACATTGGTGCTCAGGTATCTCAATTTCTTTGCAATATTAGTTAACTGAAATTCTCCACGTTATCTTCGAGTCTACTTTCAACCTCCGTCTTTCTTCTACTATTCATCGAGCTGGGTAGCCAAAAGACGGCAATCAAAACCCGCGCATGAAAGTGCACAGTTAGTGCTTTTACAAACTGAAAAACTGAACTGCATCGTTGGAGAAAAAAGGATAGCTTCTCCATACGGTCACAATAGGGACAGATGGCGGAGTTTGAAACGCGGTCATAACACTTGATTTCAGCCATATATCGAAAGTTCAAACCTTAGACTTTTGTCACTCGCTCTTAGTGGCAACGTTTTACGAGCGTACGCTTGAAACGGGACGAACGGAGGCTCAATAAACAAGCAGCTTTGTGAGGTTTACTTTACTGCGCAACCACAAGGGTTTGCGAAGTTGTAACAATGCCCTTCTCACGCAGTCTATACGAAGCAGGACTTCGTCGCTGACTTGGCCGTTTGGCTGGATAGTAGACGCTAGTTACTTGCAGTGTTTCGCCATTGATGTGAATGAGCCGTGACCGGTCGATGTGAAAAACTTCGTTTATGACGTGCTTATCTTCGATCTCACAACCTCGGCTTCACATTCGATCCGGTCCAGTATTGGCTGTATAATGTCAAAATCGTCGCCTGTTGTGATAATGTCGTCGGCAGATGCGAGGTCAACTATCCAGGTTTTGTGAATAATTTTTATTCCTCTAAAATCGGTGAGAGTAGGATGCATTACCTAGTCTATGGCGTAGTTGAATAAGATTGATGACATGATACAGCCCTGGCAGACGCTTGCGATAAGCGGGGATCCCGTTGACTCTTACCCATAGCCGCGGACGCACTTGTGTTGCACAGTAATATGATCTTATTAGTCTTATATAGTGAGTGCTGTGAATCGGTAATCCAACTGAATTAAAAGAAAGGGGATAGATCATCTTGTGGAAACCACAGCGGAATCAGTTTAATCAACATTGCTTCTAAACTTCTCGCCGATGTTATACTCCGTCGATTGTGTCGCACGTGAACGGTGAAAATCATGCTGCTTCGCACTTGTTCGAGGTTGTATACAACACACTTTCACTCTTCGCTAAATTTTAGAACACAGACACTCATTTCGTAGACGTAGATCAGTGTTGTGCACTGCATGAGTCCAGTAGGGACACCGAACAAGTAATACTGAGATTAGGCGCGGTTTTCGGTAGTCACGACTTGAGCAAGTTGTCGACCTCTATGGACTGCAATGGTTGGGGCATGTGTTGCGTATATTCTCAAATAGATTGCCACTGCGGACGATTTTTTCCGAGGAAGGCAGCGGATGGAAGGGTCAAAGTCCGAATGAGGTTATGAAAACCTTAAGCAGGAGACTCAGTCATGCAGGTCGTGTTTCGCTTACTGGGATGGAGGCCTTGGGATCATTGTAAACGGTGGTCAGAGACATTAATGGATATGTTTCCGAGAATCAGATACGCCTCATAGCAAGGGATAAGCATCTAGCACCATCTGAAGTTGTGTATAGTGCTTCACACAAGTGCGTCTATGAAATACGGTCCTTCGTCATGTGACCATCGTTCAGTTGATGCGAACTACGCCAAGAAAGGCGGTAAATTTAGCCCTTTTTCCGTAGCAAATTGTGTTACTCGGTAAGCACTGTTCAATCATAGTAACAGTCTGCTAATGTCACTCATCATTTGGTGAATGACATTTTTAATTAATGTATATTCATTTCAGTTCAGTTTTTACAACCACTAACCATTAATGTATGCTGAAAACACGCGAAAACAAATCTTGAACACCCTTAACAAAACAGCAGGGATTTCAACTCACGTTGGTTGAGACTGGTATCTGTGAGCCGATAATCAGATTCTGTTTGGCAACTTGAACCTGTAATGCACATTGGTAAAAAAAACGTGGGCAAGTGATACAAAATAGTGTGTTACTTTTAAACAAATTCAAAGCTTAGTTGTAATAAACCTGCATGATGTATAATCTATTAACCGTTCGGTAACTTACTATTCCGGTAGAATGTACAATAGTTTGACAACACTCATTCAACCGTATTTCTCATTGCAGTCAAGTGGATAAACCCCATAATGTGAGGGAGTGGGCGAAGTTTAAGACCGATACAGCTTATGAGGGTGATAATTTATGTTCAGGAGGGTAGATGGGCAAACATGTGTTACACAGTGATGTAATTTTTTTGGAAGCTAAAAGTAGGACACTTGTGAATAGCCTCTTGGTCTGGACTATCAATTACTTGCACACTGCACCTATTGCGTATTGTACAGTGTATAACTTTTGCAAACACTGAAGCTTACATTTCAGTTAAAAAAGCTACACATACGAACCGTCACAGAGAACATATTCAATGGGGGGAAATGTTAACAAACGGGGACATTTCATAATCCAAGGATAATACAAAGGTCATTTGTTACCCTTTATTTATTTGTGATTAGACGTGAAAAATAGGGTATAACTGAATTTCGGTAGGCGTTTATTCGAGATGAAATTTGGAGGAATTGAGAGCATGAGGAGGGATGGGAACGTGTCAATTTTGCGTGAAATGCGTGCTCAAGATCTGTGATTATCATTTTAAGGGCACAAAGTCAGAAAGTTAAAAAAACAACGCAAGTGAGAAGAAGATCAAGCAATTTGTTTTTGGGACATTATTAAATACGAACTGCTCAAACGAAAAAATAAAAATACCTTGCTAAGTAGTATCAGTGACCCAACAACGAAACCCGGTTGCGGATGTGCCAAACACAATTGCAGCAAACGTTGAGCGAAGGCAGCACGCCGGTCGGCATCGGGATCACTGAGCATACTGCGATAAATTAGATGCAACACAGTAGGACCGCGAGACGTCTGAAGTAAATTAGGGTCACGTAGTTTCCTATATAAAGCCTAAATGGGAAAGAAAGCCACGATTAATCAGTTTTATGGAATTATAAACTCATTTATTGCGACCGCAGACTTATTATACCAATCAACTTTCTCTAGAGCATCATAGTTAGGCATATTAACTACAACACCGACTGCACACTAAGGAGCCTATCACGTTCAATGTAAACATTGATGCTCCATCATCTATGCTTTTTTAAAGCAGTTTATTCACATCCATTCCTTATCTTAGTGAGATTCCTAGCTTCTCGTTCAAGCTTTCTTGTCTTCACAGATTGATCAGACGGATTATAACTAAAACCGGAGCAATTTAAAGGTTGAAAAAACAGAGCTGAATTTCAGTGACTGCTGTTCGCACAACGCTTGACTTCATGGGGTATGCCAAAGATTAAACAAACTCACTTGATAGTACCGATCACGAATTTCCGGACGATGTGAACATAATTGGAAGAGTACCGTCAGGGCTTGTAACGACACGTTGAAACTTGTGGTGTGTACCAGGCGGAAAATGTCGTCGACTTCCTTCACGTATTCCGTAAATCGATCATCTGACAAAACGACATGATGGGGACTAAATAGTCGCGTGGAAATGTTTCGAGACTATATGAACAACCGTAACGTATAACCAGTCGGTAAAATGACTCAACTGGAGGAATGTGGCAATAATGCATCCACAAACAAAGTACACTTTTCATGGTATTTGTGTTTCGGTATAAAATCGGCACCCCAACTAGCAAGCTCGATTGATCGAACGGACAAATTCAGTTTGGTCCATAATCTGTGCTATCGCGTATGTCTAATGGTGGCGGATAGGGGAGCTGCCACCAACCCAGTTAACCGTGAACAACGTGGAGTTAGGCTCACTGAATGACGGATTGTGGAAGATCAGCCGCAGTACTCGAAGATGAGGTGGTTTTACCACTTGGCAAGGGCTCACCGCACAAAACACCATACTTCTTTTGACAGTGCTGTGTACTGGAACATGGTCCGCTATTAACTGTGGCCATTCCCCCTTGTCGAGTTCCATCCACTCGAATGGACTCTCCAGAAGAGGAGAATGAACCAACCAACCGACCACTGGCTCATTTGAACAACGCTGCCGCCCTGTAGCTAGCACTTGATTGCGCAAAGACCAGAGTGCACACTCGAACAAGGCTAACTCTGGTATTCAAGTTCAGAACGTACACAATCACGAAAGATGAACTTTCTTCAGTGAATCCGTACTCGACGCATTTCTCTATGGTCGCGAAATATCCAGAGTGAAACATACTCATGACAGAAGCATGATTGTCTGAAGCAGCGTGCATACATAACAAGCCTGCTGTGCTTCCTCGAGGATGTTACCGGAAAGATAAACTAAAGTAAAACCGCAGACTACAGCTAGGCTTTTGATTTGGTAAATCGTCACTCGTTGTTGGCCAAATTAGAAGGGTTCTGAATTCAGGGTCAGATGCATAGGTGGATAAGTGGTTTTCCCCTAACAATTATCATAAACTGCGAGAAGGTTCCGAGTAGTATCCCCCGAGAAAACCCTCTGCAGCTTGGGCAACCGGTTAGTACCACATCCACAATCTAACCCTGGACTTATACTATCACAAACGCCTCATATTTTTTTACACTCGTGTACAGTTCTCCAAATCTGCATGCAGAACTTCCACTTGTCCCCGAAACAACATCCCAGCTGTTTCGCTTTATTTTCTATTTCGAAAAGTTCCACTAAGGTAGGTTTATGTTGTAGTTCGTAACAATAATCCTTGACAACTGTCTTAGCAGTGCTGTTGCACGACATCCAGTGGTTACAAGATTTTGTTGGAACTGTGCTAGTACGTGTACTCCACGGCTGCGAGAGTTGGTCCCTCCACACAGAGGACGGACGAATATTAGGTGTCTTAGACCATCGTTGCCTTCGTTGCATCGTCAGAATACATTGACAACAGCGAATCACTAACGACCAGGTTCGCTGAAGAATCTTTGGCTTAGACCATTTCAGTTGTCCTATGAGTGCCGTCATCTCGCTCCAGAGACTTTGGTGGCTGGAACGTGTGTTGCGGATGCCGGCTCAACGACTGCCTGTCGGGTTATGTTTGCGCAAGCCGGCACTAATTAAAATCGGCGACAAGGTGGACAACGAATAACCTGGGCTGGAACGACGAAGGCGTTAACCTCATAACTGGCAGTGATAGGACGCTCCAGACTCCCAGGTTGGGGCCCCAAAGACAGCGAACAGCTATAGCTTGAGGCGCTAGCAGACATGGCTGGTAACCGGCGTCAATGGTGCAACTGTGGTGATACTCTTATTTAATAGTTTATTTGAACCCTTTTTCACATCTCTTTCTTCATATGTTGTGGCATGATTTCCAATTATATGTAAGTGGTTGGGTGTTAAAGACATACATGTAGTGCCCTGGTTAGTTGCTCGTGTTTATCTATGGTATCTACCGGGCTCCTCTATGCACTGGTTATGGT